GGGGCATTGGGCAATTGACTGACTGACTCATTTGACACTGACCTGCCCACTTCATTGTCCATTGTAACATTGTACTTTATACTTACACCAAGTCACAACAGCTCAATGTTGACATCTGTACAAGTGTTGGGACTTGATAGCACCATAGGTTAAACATACTTGCTTAAAGATGTATTGTCTTAATGGGTTGGATGAAGGAAATTAAATAAGGTTAGTCCCGACCGGTTAGATATAGGGCGTTTAACATCTAATATTTTGTTTCTTGCTATTCAATCAACATTAAAACCACTCTAACCTAATATACTTTTAAGCAACGTAGTATTTGACGTGTATTATTATAGAAAAAAATTCACAAGCCACAACATCCACTTGGAAATAAGAAAGAAACAGCAAGTCGACATTAGAGCACTCAAATAACACCTACATAAAACACATCAGAACAAGTTGGACTATTCAATATCAATGGTGGCATTGGGGTAGGCTGTTGATCAATTAATCTAAGGTATATGACGTACTAGCTGAGTACCCGTCCTTCGTACGGGGTTGGTATACAATGCTTATTGTAGTTAAATACTCGTGCATTGCATTTGCAATGAGAGAGGACACGGTTTGAGAAAATTTGGTTTAGTATAATCTACGGTATACTATAGTATATAGAACATCTACCATAGCCATAATGTTCTACCACTTCACCAAAACAATAGAAAGAAGTAAAGTTCTCACAATCAGGTTTTTGTTGCTGCTTGGTTCATATTAGCTGTTGTCAAAAAATAAATGTATAAAGAACTAATGGTGCTGCACCCTGTTGGTAAACCGTATACGCATTAAAGGTATACCTTTTAATGCTATTGAATATCATAGAAACAAATTGTGTAGTTGAAACAGCTGGCCAAATCATTTAATTCCTTTTAAATATGAATACTCATAAGGTTAACATGGGAAACTCTAGAGCCGCTGGGGCGGAGCCCGAAAGGATTTTTGAGGTAAGAATATGTCTATATATTAATCCGGAATGTGAGCTATCATCATACCAAATTTCAACACAATCCGACCAGTAGTAAATGCGTGATTGAACTTCAAACAAACAAACAAACAAACACACAATCTTTCACATTTATAATATTAGTATGATTGATGTGTAACCATCGATGAACAAACCGAAGCTGTTCATCGTCGTAGAAACATGACGTTGCCATTGACTTTAGATTATATGAGTAACAATACTAGTAGTCTAGTCTTTTCATATTATTTAATCTGAATCTGATTTTGGTGTGTGTTTCAAGTCTTGTCACAATTAAGTACGCCAATGTCGACTAAATATGACTTCATATTTTAGGTTAGATTTGGTAGTTAGGTTTACATAATATGTATCAATGGATCCTATTATTTGGTAAACAACATGAAATTAATACTAAAAATATGAAGGAACACTCTACGAACGCTAAATATGAACTTACCTAAAAACTCATGATCGGACAATGGGAACGTTATAGGGGGTTTTATGGGGGAAAAATTGGGGGTTCTTATTTTTAGGCCCTCAAAACATAAAAATACCCAATTTCTCTTTACACCATTTCAAAGAGCATTAAAAAACTAATAATTTAGTAAATTTAATTGTTTTTCCGCGTTTTTTGGTTACGGAGAAAATTGAATAAATTGTAAAAAATTTAAAATTCCCATGTCATTGTTATGGAGAATAATTAATCTGTTGTAGTTTGCTTGTTTATGGATATATTTTTATCAAAATTGGCAAATTTATTTATTTTTACTAAGCTATTTATATTTCACTAAAGACACACTTTATTACCCTCCCTGTAGCAGCAAACCTAGGTACTTGTATAATTTAATGTTATTTAAATATATTTAATTTAAAAGCCAATACTGGTAAATGGAAATTTCGCGTATAGGTTTGCTGTGGCGAGGGTATTTTATACTAAAAGGCAAGTCTTACCGCACTGGAACATTTACGACTACACCACTGGTGATTGTATCTTCCCTATATATTCTCCGAGTGTTGCTCGAATGAAAGAAACCCGCCATTGTATCGACTGTGACTCTATTTCTATTTTCCTATTAGGCTTAAGTCTACAAGGGTTTGAAAAACATTTATAGGTAGAATGCCGGATAAAATCCGTTGTACTTGTACATATTATGTGTGTATTACAAATTATAGCGCCAAAGAGCAAGTAATTTTTCTTTTGTCATTGTTACACTAATAACTTAAGCCATTTCTAATGGAGGGAAACTAAAATATATTTGACACTAACAAGGAATTTCAACTGAAAATTATAGTTTGAGCAGGTCATAAGAGCAGGATGTAAACAAGTTAACTCTGAGTTTTGTATAAAACAGTACTATGTATAAGGATAATATTACAGTAAACCACTTTTCACTTATATCTTAGCTGACATATAAAGGGTATACAAAGCTGCTGGTAGTTCAGTTATTTATCGCACAGTATATGCAATTCTCAGACGAAGCGTTATAGCTTATGTCGAATAACAGAACATCTTTAACGCTAAGTGTAAGAGGTTAAAAACGAAAACTAATTTCATTGTAAAATGGCTGTTTTAACCCTTTAAAATATACAATAAATTGAGAATTAAAGTGCTTTCCTCGATGTATTAGTGATTACAAGCTATTCCTAGTAGGTACCGGTATCGTGAAATGTCAGTTGGCGGAGAGCCCACACTGAGGTACCTATAGCTCTCTTCAGCCTAGTTTTTAAACTTTGAATTTAAAAGTACAGTATGGCAACCCTCTGTTGTTGGTTGGCCTGCTGTAGCCAGTAGTAAACTCAAAGAGAACCTAGAAGAGAGAGCCTCTCCTGGCTCTCTGGCTGGAAATATACTACACAAGTTATATTTTCTTTTTAGGTTTTCATGCTACGACTTTAGTGGTTACATACACGAATTTTTAGTTACCTAAACATTACCCTTCCAGTTAGGAATAGTTCAATATTATTGAACAGCTCCATTTGTTGTTGACTGAAGCTATTTTTATTCTGAAATTGGGCTGACATTGAACGTCATAGCATTGACTATTGGATACTGAAATAAGTTGTATTGATGGTTAAAGGTCATAGTATTTTATAGATTAGTCAATGATTGTATCTATAGTTCATTTTTTTAAGACTGTGGAAATCTTCAATTTTTCAAACTATTTATCAGCTGTCATATACTGTCATAATATATACGGTAAAAATACATCATGTGATAACAAAAATAATTATAGCCTATATTTTCATTTTTAAATTCTAGCAATATACTTAAAATATTTTAGTGATTTTGTGGCCAAATGAACGAACTAGTGATGGAAACCAAACCTCAACTTGAAATCGGAGACACCCCGTCAAAATTCCAACCCATCCTCGAAGAAAAAGAATCAAAATTTCCTTGGAAAGTGTTGCTCTTGAGTATGTTTAGGTTGTGTCTTTGTTTCATCTACTACAATTTAGCACACAGCCAAATGGTGGTGAGAACGGATGGGTCAACTTCAAGCAAACGTCCTTTCGGAAGAGTCAGGGATCATTACAAGTACAGCGAAATAAACGTGATGGCTGCTGTAATCCTGATGGACGTGAATCCTGATCGCTGGTCCCACATACTGTCAGGCATTGCCTCCATCAGCCTTCTTACTGCTATTGTTATCAACGCCTTGCAGGGAAAAGGGAACGCGCAGAAAGATAAATTCACCGACGGAGATCCTGAACGTACTAACCGTGTGAATCTAGTGACTGTAGCATTGGTAACATTGGCTTTAGGATGGATATCCATGGATTTGATTGAGAATATTCCTATCGGTCTGAGCAATGTTCACACACTATTCACCAATGTTTCTGGAGTAGAAGCATTGGCATACTTGATGATCTTCATGGCGTCCAGTTTACTTCAGCTGTTCTTACTCTTCAATTCGGTGAAATTCCACCATTCTCTAATTAAAGAAGGTGTTAAATCTACTCGGGATTCCAGGCCTCTAGATGCTGGAGAATCCTTAAACTGTGACTAGATCGTTAGGAATGAAATGTATTCTAAATGTTGAATTCCATACTACTGTAAATTAATCATTTTGAATTCAACATTATTAGAGTAATTAAAATCATCTTGTAATCATAGCTTAGTGTTTTATTATACTTCAACTGACTTTTTTCAACATTTTGTAAAAACGATTTCCTTCATAAATTTATTCCTCTTACATAAATAATACTAATACGAAGTGAAATCTGTAGACTAGTGATCCATCAATCACTATACGGTATTACTTTTATATCAGTTTGTACCTTTCAAGCAATATTATGAGCATATTATGATCACTAGGCGGCTGTTGCAGTGGCTAGAGCTAAGGGTGGCAAAAAACTTCTTAAGTTCAATACCACGAATGACCTATGGAATTTGACATATGGAAATCCCACGACCCGGTGGTTGTTTGGTGGCCACTTGAAGATGCAGACTATCACACAGGTTATCATTAAAAATCTGAAATTAAAAAAAATAATTGTTCTTTCGTCTATGCTTGTTGTACCTGTTGTACTACCATTACATCACACTATTTTGAGCTATAAGAATACAAATTCTATGCCGGCACAAACTATAATTATTTTAAAAGCGGTTAAAATGGCATACCTATTTTAACAATAAAAATAAGCTGTAGGATTTAATAAGCACAAAACCTGAAGCACATTTAATTTATTGGCATTTCAACAATATCCTTTCTTTTTTCAGCTTAACATAATATTGACCTAATAAAACTCTCTTACTTTAGTTTAACAAAGAGCCAAAAGATAATACTGTGTATTAAATCTTTCCTAAGTAAAGAAGATAAGCGATTTTGGTAAGTCAGTGACTCAGAAGAACTAGAAAAAGTGTAGGTACCTAATCTCTTCTCTACGCACTGGGCGGTGCGAGAGTCGTTTCGTGTTGTCCCGCGGTGTAATTCTCTGGCATCACTGCGCGATCGGTTGACGCCGTTGACGGCTGACGGTTAGTATCACTTGGGCGGTCGCAGAGACAACTACGCCCGACCGTCCGCAGTGGTCTCGACCCATGTGTTCGTACTGTCTGGTTGGAAACAAACTTATATACTTTCTACTGTAATTTATAATTTATTTTTAATGTTTCAAACTCTTTAAATTGTAAAAAATATACTCTTTGAATGATGCATTATTTTCGGTAAACCCCATGACGCGACAACTTGGATGTAACATGGAAATCCCTAGGTGTGTTTCCGAGTTCCGGTAGTATTAGCGGAAGTAACGCTTTAACGGAATCAGTGCTGCCAAAAGGTCGAGGATGCAGACGAAATATAGGACAGGGTGGTTGGTGGTGGTGGTTTGTTTTTGTGGAGTGGTAGCTGCCCCTAGTAGAAGAAGGATACCATTTTCAGATAATACGGTAAGTGTTTTGTATAATGTTTAACATACACATTATATAGTTAATGGATTTTATTTAAGTGATGTAGGGTAAACTGCTAAATCAATGGGTTCGCTTTTGGACATTGGACCACAGAAAACGTACTACTCTACGTTTTCTGTGATTGGACTTATACAAAATAACGCCAAAACGGGAAATGTGTAATTTTTCTCACAGTTTACAAAGTAGTCATGCTTCCATTTCTCTCACAAGTATAATGCATTTTTTCTAGCATCTACTAGAAATTGTCAAAGTAATGGAAGCGGTACCCGGTGTTATGTTTTTAATTTCTTTAAAATTAAATCAGAGTTTTATAAAACCACATTAACCTTGTTATCTTTCTATAGTTCACAAAAATTATTATGTGGTGTATGTTGTTTTACTTAATTAGGGTATCTGAGAATCACCATGAGTCGTCCACACAAATTTAACACAAAATAACGTCATGTTACATGACATGTTAGACACAACATTAAACTAAATGCTCACTGGGTCAGATTGGATTGATGTTTCTGACATATGTAAGTAGTCAACAAGTAAAATTCATGTATATATAATTGTATATAGGCTACATATATAGTCGAAGATATAAATAAGCCCATTTTAGCACTGCGATGTGTCGCTGCGTTCTTATTCATATTAATCATTGTATTTAATACTGTAATAAATTAGACATGCAAAACATTCCAAGAAGATTGAAGCGCAGTTCGCAATAATCAGCGTAAGGCTTCCTGATTTTAATCCTATTATTATACTCAAGTGGATTAAAATGGCTTCCAGTCTGTAGAAATCAATTCAACTTGAATGTTTCAACTTTTCAATTTCATCTTCTAGTTAAAACACAAAATACTTTTCATTGCTTGGAATTTGCTATCATTTAAAATGTCCATTTATAGATTGACTTCCACAGTGTTATAGCGAACATCCCGTACAACGTTTGATTAGAAAAAAGGTACAATGTCAACCTTGTTGAGTACGGGAAGCCTATGTATTATTAGTTATATATATTGTGTAGATTCTAGAATGTGTTGATTGCAAACCAAACGAAACAGGACTAACTACCGTACTTAAGTTAATATGCATTGATTGATAAACAAAATATGTATTCAGTGAAGGTTTGCGCTTGGGTTAACAATAATGCCCAGGCATAAACACACCAATAGGATCAAAACCTTGAATTCTTGACGAGCGCTGAGCGCCTGTTGCGAAATGGTACGGGGTTGGCTGATGAGCAGTTAACCAAGGAGACAAACATATGGGTTTATTGCGGATGCTGGAAGATGGATTTGGCAGCGACTAGGATGCGGAAATAGAACAAAGTGAAGCGGCCGTCGCCCCCGCTGGAACTGGGGAAACAACCTAAACCAACCTTCTGAGTACAGGGGATATGGGGGGAATGCAAATCTTATCAGTTTGGGGGAAATTGGGAAACGCAAACCTTCTGAGTGTCGGGAGTCTGGGGAAACGCACACCAGAGGAACAGGAAAAACAACACAAATCTTCTTGGTAACGGGGAATAACACAAGCTTACCACTGAGAAATACGGAGAGGGAACACAAATTCACCTTGGGTTATACAGGAAATATATTAGGTTATCCAGAGAGAACTAAACCATCTCACCTTTATATGTAGGTATAGGAATATGGGGTAACCGCACAAATCAATACCATAGACACGTTGCGGAAGAGCATGAGCTGACCTTTGGTATATCAAGAGAGTGTTAGGGAGAAGAAAACCCGACTTCTGGAATATTAAAGAAAACTGAGCACCTCTGGGATATCAAGGTAACTAGGAAGACAGCCCGAACTCACGTCGGATATCTACAGATACGGCTTTTAAAAATACTACATATTCAGCACAAACACGATTTGTATACAGTACATTCATATTTATATTATTAAAGGTAGACTCCCTACTATCACAAATCCACTTTAATGATATGTAGTGTGGTAATACAAAGAAAACTCCAACTTGTCTTTACTACATATATGTGGAGAATCTAAGGTTTTCAAAACAAATAACACGTTAGAATATTCTTGCGGAAAATCTTAAATAGCTTAAAATTTCATTAGGTGCATATTTCTATTTTGACCATTTTGAATGTTATTTTTCTGTATTTTACTCAATAAACTAATGAGGTAGAAATTCTATTATACGTGTAAGATATGTTAAATCAATTAAAAACAAACTTAGTGTAGACTCTTAAGGGTTACTAGTACGGGAAACAGGTACCGAACGAGTGCGGGATTACTTTATTTACTTACTACAGTATACGAGTAGGCTACGGCAAACACTTACGACGAGCGACGTACGATATTTTTCGCCTTTGCTACTAAAACCCAACCTGGCAATAAAATCAACGGTATCAACAATCAGACAGATATTTTCTCCCACCTTGTCATCAACCCTTACATTGTAAGCGGAGGAAGCATTGACTATAGACCTTTACTAGATAGACTACTTTGACTACACACATAGTCAATGGTGGAATTATCTATGATGTACTATGGGGAAAATCACAAAAAATCAATATCTTTTGAACCGTAATTTTTACGGCAAAAGATACGGTTGTGCCGTTTTATTTAGAGTCGAAAGTACTATAACAAACTTGTAATCAAATCGTTCAAGCGTTTTTTAATTAGATTATTTCCCTATTTTATGTTACGGATAGGATATTTATATGCCAAAGGAAATTTTATTTCTTGTGATTTAGTTTGTAAATTTGGTTACGTTGATAATAATAGTTATGTTTAAGAAATAGCTAAGATGCTTATTAACCAAAAATATGCTAATCATAATCAGCTGTCATAAAAATGCATTAGATTATCGTATAGTAGCAGCAAGAGTACCTTTGAGTATCAAAAAATCAATGCTAGTATTGGTAGTACGTAATGAAATACCTTTTGAAGAAGGCGGCAAACAACGATTTCCTGGACTAATTCCATGCGGGGAAAGTCCATTAAAATAAAGTAGTGTTGCGAAAAAAATAATTACATTAAAATCACTTTCAGGAAGACATAAAATATAATAACATTGTGTCAGTTAAGATATTGCAACCAATGCCCAAACACAGCTTACAACGTTTTCTTTGTTCCTGATTTGGATTTATAATCATTGTTTCAAGCTTTCAAGCCCTTGACTCTAATGCTGACCGTGCTGCAATATTCCCTATAAACTGCAAGGTCAGTAGCAGTATAGGCCTACTTCTTATCACTTCTGACTGGTCAGTGAATTAAGATTACAAATCTGTCTTATAGCATACAACTTTTAGAAATAATGGTCTATTAATAATCAGCTTGATTCGCCAGTGACGATATAAACTGCAGTGTATCTTCTGCAGTGTAGTTGTTCCGGACGGTTTAAATACTTTTTGTCAGAGGCAGAGTTAACAAAACTTAACATGAACTATAAAATTAAGCTTTTAAAGAATGTATACATTTACGAACTAGCCAAACATTTCAAATGTCAGCACTCGTTGAAAATCGCATTTTATATTTAGGCTAGCCTGCACATAAAAATTAATCAAAACTAAAGTTATAGGCATCTTTTTAAACTAGTACAAAATGTTATACATCTCAAAATTTAAACCAATTAGTATTGGTTAATCCTCGTAGTGTAATTAATCTTTCACTACTTTGGAAATGAAAATCTTAAATGTTGAAATAATGACAAAAATATTGGTTAAAGCGTCTTTGTATAATCAGTGTTGATAATGTTGGGGTCCAAGTGAGCCCACGTGGAGCCCTCGTCACTCGTGTGTGAGCCCCATTTCCGGGCGCCCCGACGTATTGTTTTTTAGTGACCCCTCCCTATGGACCTATCTTGCTTGACCGTCTGTCAGTCAGGGAACTCGAGATAAGAATACTGTGTCAATCTTATATCCGAGGCTCGATAAATCATACTAGTGGACCTGTTGCTCGAACTCGAGCAATTGCTTTGTATTGCAGGCGTTATTTTAAAACGAATAACAGTCATAACTTCTAATGACTTTAAAAGATTCAACTCAGAGATTATGGAAATACTCAAGATGTACATAACAGATTGATTCTTCCATAATAACGATTATAAATTCTAAAAAAACATTATTTCTATTTCTTCTCCTTGGTGGTATTCTATGACTTTCCTATGTTTCCATTGTTAGCAAATCTGCTCTTTCAAATGATTACTAAGAAATGCAGCACAGTGTTAATTTAGTTTTCTTTTTAGTATATCAATTTATCCAGGCTCTCTCGATTTTTTACATTGTAATATTTACACCAACCCAAATTCAAATAGTAAATATTTTATTTCAACCAAGAAAGTGTTTCCTGCACAACTTCACGTTACGCTCTTTCCAATGACACCAAAAACATGTCAATCAGTTAAGTAGTTTCGGAGGAGTAATTGTCACAAAAAACCTGCTTGTGTACTAAAAGTATTTATAGATTAAACAACAATTACACTATGTTACACATACATTACCAATCGAGATGGGGATGCAATTTGGCATAGTTAATTAATCAACCTTAAAATAAGTAAAGGTTGAGGATGCGTGTAGAATGAAGCATAACGTGAGATGCCATGTGTAGTTTTTTTAATGACTTAAATCAGCTGTTTCTTTATTCAGAGTCTTTATTAAATACCTAATTAAATTATCAGGGTCAGCTGTGTTGAATAGCACAGAGTAGTTTGGTTTTTGACTACCGACAAACTAGCAGCACATGTCCCCTACAATACAATCAGTAGAGCCGTGGTACTATATGGGATAGCACTCGTTCTTGCGAGAACCACATTTTATTAACGGGAATAAAAACTTTAAGAGTGGTCTTTGCAGACTTACACCTCTTGAAAGTTGATTATATGCATCTTTGTTCAATTACTTATCGTTGTCACATTATTATATGTCGGGGTTAATTAATTAGGGAATTGTGTTTTTAGGGAAGGGTACATATACTAAATAAAAGGGTTATCCTGATATACCTATAAAATTGTTATTTTATGAC